TGGGGGGTTGAAATCCGTTGCCCAAAAAAAAAAAAAAAAAAAAAAAAAAAAAAAAAAAAAAAAAAAAGAAACTCTGGCCTCCATGTTATCTATAGTAAACTTTTTACAGTTTTAAAAATATGGCTAAGGTTGGAAGATGTTATATTTTTGACACAAATCTTTAAATGTGGATTATTTGTAAAGATCTATAAACAAGAGTACAACTGATTCATTTAGTCTGAAGATTAGTCTGTTCTCCCCCAACTACAACAGATTTCTATATGCCCAATGGTTTTAGATTTTCTTGGAAAATTCATTTTACCTCAATGAGTGAGTGAACTTTCATAGTTGTGTTGTAACATTTATGTATGACTATCAATCTTACTATCTTGATATCATCAAACAAATTTACCAATCTAGAGTTTTAACAGTAGAAGCATCTTGATAGTTAATTTTGTCACTAGGCCTGTTTCTAAAATCCTATAGCCACACATGTACATCTGTAAGTTAAAAATAGCAAATGAACTATGATTTAGTGATAATTACATAGCAGTGAAAATAGTTCTGCTGTAGCTCTTGTTTTGAACACATGAATTTGTTCCAACACCATTGATACATTAAGGAACAACTAGAGCATAACACAAATTTTGCATTTGCTTATACATGAGTTTGGCAGTGAGAAGCACTAGATGAACAGAGAAAACTGAAACCAGCAAATCAAGTTACTTAGGGATACAAACACCTCAAATATGTATCAGCTACCTAAGTTCTCTGTGTGTGTTATGAGTGACATCCACTCACGTTTGGTGTTAAAACTTTACATTCAATTTCAGATAACCCTTAAGCTGCAACCCTTCCAATAACCACTTCCACAAGCAAACCTCAGGTCTTTTTTAAGGTAAAATGCCAGATTTATTATAGCATTATGTATTTCTTAGCCATTTAACACATATAAAACTGTGACACCATTTTTATTAGGCTCCTATCTTTTTTTTCTATGTGTCCCTGATGAAGTTTCTGTGCCCCTAACCTCATTTTTTCCCATAAGCCCTGTGGTGTGGTTTTTATTGCATGATTTTGTATAAAGCAGTGCTGATATTTAGGAATGCATATGTCATGTTATAATAGAACTGACTGTAAACGAACTACTGCTCCATGCATCAACGTGGATGAATCTTGATGATGAGTTAAAGTAGACTATGGGGGAGTGAAAGGGGGAGTGAAAGGAGGAGTGGAGGGCAACCCTGAGAGGGTTAAACAGATTTTTGCTCCTCATAAATTTGTGTGCCTGGGCCCAGAATTAGAGGCCTGTCTTAGTCCATTTATTATAGGCTGCTATAATAAAATGCCTTAGACTGGGAAGCTTATAAACAACAGAAATTTATTTCTCATGGTTCTGGAGGCTGGGAAGTTTAAAATCAAGGCACAGGCAGATTTGGTGTCTGGTGAGGGCCCTGTTCCTCACAGATAGTAACTTCTATGTGTTCTCACATGGCAGACGGGGCTGGCTAGCTCTTTGAGGTCTCTTTTACAAAGGAACTAATCCTACTCCCAAAGACCCCACCTTCGAATACTATCACAGTGGGAATTAGGTTTCTTTCTTTTTTCTTTTTTTTTTTTAATTCTCATTGTTATTATCTGCAGTTTTATTTTTGGTTCCTTCTTTGATCCATGAGTGATTTTTTTTTTTGGCAGCTGGCCAGTGAGGGGATCCAAACACTTGACCTCAGTGTTATAGCACCACATTCTAACTGACTGAGTTAACTGGCCAACCCCTGGAATTAGGTTCCAAAGTATAAATTTTGAGGGGACCATAATAAAGGTTTCACAACCATACCAAGTACACAAGAATCAGATTTATAATACTTCTTTTTGTTATGTATGAACACTATAAACCAAATTATTTTGAAAAAAAAAAGTATATAGTGTGATATCACTAAGTTCAAAATCAGGCAAAATAAATCAACATATTTTTATTGTACATAATATTTAGCAAAAACATAAAGAAAGGGATGAGAATTATAAACACAAAATCCTTAGAGAGAGGATGGAAGGCGAGATGAGCTGAGGATGATAAAGTTCTATTTTGTTATCTGAATGGTAGGCATATGGGTATTCTTTACACTGGGTGTTCTTCAAAACATGGCCTGGGACCCCCTGGAATCTAAGACTCTTTCAGAGGGTCTGCAAGGTCAGAGAAGTCAAAGCTATTTCCATAAGACTAAGATGTGATTTGCCTTTTGTACTTTCATTCTCGCAAAAGTGCACAATAGTTTTGCAGCAATACATGACATGATTATGACAAGTGGCTGAATGCACAAGAAGTGATGAGAATCCAGTTGTTTCTATTAAGCCAGACATTAAGAGATTTGCAAAAATGTACAACAATGCCAGTTTTGTCAGTAACATTTTTGGTTTGGGAAAAAATACTTACATAATAATATGTTACTTAATGCAGTTATTTTCAAAAGAATTAACAAACATTTTTAAATTCTCAGTTCTAAGTTCTAATATAGTAAATGTACATAAATATGACCCACATAAATAAAAGCTCTCTGGGGTTTTCAATAATTTTTTCAAATATAAAAGAGTCTTAAGGCCAAAAAGTTTGAGAATACTTTAAACCTTATAGCCGACACACATACACATACATAACACACACAGCTTTTGAGTGTATGAAATATTTCATATTAATAAAGGTTAAAAAAAATCATAGTATAGTGAAAAGACATAAAAAGAACTCTTCACCACCACCACCACCAAGTGATGCTGTATATGGTAAAAGCTTGTTACAATGGTGTATCTATGTATAGACGTGACTTACCGATACTCAGTCTGAGAAAAACAATCATAAAGCTCCTGGGCAGTAAACTTGACACTTTTATTTATCTGAAAAGAACCAAAATATAGTTTCAAAAATACACATTAAATCAAATAAGTGATGAGAGCACAATTAGAGTAGCCCATATTCTGAGGGAGCACAATCTCAAGTTTCTATTTATTATGTAAAAAAGGACTAAACATTAAGAAGTTCAGTGACCTTTATGCTAACACTGAACTATAAATGTAAAAATATTAGTCCTATTATTACAATTTAATCTGTTCATAGAACCAGTAGAGGTGCGATAGGCCTGGATGTAGTAAAGATCACATGGACAGAAAAAACCATAATAAGGTTATAAACTATGGAAACATCTATCTGATATAGGAAAAAGTTTGATTCATAGACATTTTCTGAAGAAATGTTATTTTTCAAATCAAGGTCTATGTATTTAAACTAATATGTTTAAGTTACTAAATATTCATTATAATTCTGAGGCATCATTTACAATACCATTAATATAAAGTCCTTCATCACACAAAAACTAGTTGTAGCAAATATATGGAAGACACAGTAAAGAAATCCTTTATTTCTTGAATCTTACTACTGATTTAGGCTATACTCTATTTATGTGAAAGAAAAACATGAGAACTTGTAGAGGAAAATTCTTTTTATCAGTTAACTCAACAAATAGCATAGTGTCTAAATTTTCAGAAATCTGTAACTAGTGGAGGGAAATTCATTAAGAGTACCTTCGATTCAATTTACTTTTAAAAATATTTTAAGTGTTATTAGCTGGTATGCATTTTGTGGTGGGGAAAAATGTTCCTATCCTCATTTAATTAATACTTCTTGAAAGATTCATATCATAAAGGTCTTCTATAGAGTTCAGGGCATTGCTTATTTGCAAAAATTCCATGACTTTCTTCAATGTTTTCATAAGTTCACCATATTTGTGTAGAAAATGTTTCATTCACTGAATGTTAAAAATATATAGAGTTCAAACACAATATTAGGATTATATATTTATATGTTTAATGTTATTTAATTATATGTAATATTTAATATTATATTTAATGACTTTGTATGAAATTGGTATATAATTTACAATAATTTTTAGGTAGTTTATAATTTTTATTAAAAGAATCTTCATCTTCTAAAAATGTTCTAAAATATACATCTAAACTATCAACCAGTTCAGTTCCTGCTTCTTTAATGGGACCTTTGTTCCAAGGGCCTTTGATATTCTACTATTGCCCCACATGCCAGGACCTACAATGTATTCAAACTTAGGCCATCAATTGTCAACACATTGCAAAGGTTTGATCAGAAGATGGAGGGAATAATCTGTTCTCTACCAACTTTTGAGAAAATCCTTGAGCTAGATATAATATAAATACAAAATAGTTCCTTAAGCTTTTAATAGACTTTTTTTTTTAAGTATCTAGATTTATCTTCACTTTTAAAAGCAACCATCCACATACTCTTGGACATTTATCCCAGAATACAGCTGGAGTATAAAGGTGACATGGCTCCAGGTTACAGCAGATAACTTACAAAGTAAGCAGTTAATTTATTAATAAAAACTAAAACACAAATTCATAATAGGTCTAGCCTAAAATAACTTGTTTCATCATATTCATTAATTTTGACTACTAAGATATTTTTACTTACCAATATTGGGACATTTAAAATTACACTGTTAAATATCATCTCCATGGTTAAATGTACAATTTTAATTTCCAGGGAATAAATAGCTAAAAGATGTCTTTGTCAGTAAACATTAGAGTTGTGACTATAAAATGGATTGTGGGGTTAGTGTCATTATTTTTTAGCTGTACTACTCACAATAAAAGCCGAACATTAGAAATGGCTCAACTATTTTTAATTCTTAAAAATTCAAGAACAAAGGCAAAGGTTAAGCATAAAAATAGTCAAACTTCTTAAAAGATTTAGATGGTCCTATCACTATTTATGATATCAGATAAATATCTCCAATGTAGTAACTGGTGTAGGGGAAAAAATTTTGTTAAAATAAATGATTTTTTAAAATCTGAGAATCAGATCCACATATTCTTATAAATAATAAATTAGGAATTTTCTTCCAATAATCTTAGCAATAGGAGTACTAAACCCAAAAAGACTCATGCCCCAGAATTTTCCAGGATATATGATTTTTAAATTGTCCTATAGTTTCCACAAATATATTTTTGTTAGACTCAATGTCTCAATTTGAAATTCACAAAGTATGATGAATTAATTATATGAATCATCTCAAAAGAAGAAAGTCTCTTAATAATCACGTAATATAGTTATAAAGGACTAAGGCTGATTTTTAAAAAGCACATAGGGACACCATTCTTTGCAATGTCTCAATTTGAAATTCACAAAGTATGATGAATTAATTATATGAATCATCTCAAAAGAGGAAAGTCTCTTAATAATCACGTAATATAGTTATAAAGGACTAAGGCTGATTTTTAAAAAGCACATAGGGACACCATTCTTTGTTTAAATAAGAATAGGTAACACTTATTGAACACTTACTCTGTGTCTGGTACTGTTTGGAGCACTAGATTATGTTATTTAGTCTTTACAGAATAACTATAATTTATCTACTGTTGTTATTCCCACTGTACAGATGAAGAGGCTGAGACAAGAAGAATTAAATAACTCTTCCTAGATCATACAGTTAATAAGTGAAAGAACCAACACTGGGTGGTTTGACCTCAGAGTTCGTGTTCTTAATCACTAAGTTCTTAATGGAAGATGTAGCATACGAAAAGTTAAATAATGAGTGAACCAGGAATAAAAGTGAAGAAATATATTTAAAGGAGTTTGACTCCATAAGAAATGTGAGCCCTGAATATATGTCTTTTCCTTCATTTAGAATGGTTTAAAACCTAAAATACACACACAAAATTGGAAAGTAGGAATATATAGAGACCATGAGCAAAGAGCTTTAAGCAAACAGAAACTGAAAATCAACAGAATTGGATTAGCAATGATGAGGAAAGTGGGCAGGTTAGTTTACAAAATACACTGGGACCTCATTACAGCTCTAACTCCAGGGTCTATGCTGCTGCTATGGAGGAAACTAAATTATAGCTTTCCTTTCCAGTGGTTCTCAACCAGAGGTGGTTCTTCTTCTCCCGAGGCCCTCTTGGATATGTGAATTGGGTTGGGTACATTGTTTGTCACAATGACCAGATAGATACAGACATCCTGCAATGCTCCACAAAATGAAGAAATGACCTGTCCAAAATGCCAAGAGCACCCCTGAAGAGAAACAATTCTGTGTTGGAGGAAGTGTGTTATTTTAGGACTCTATTAAATTTTTACTTAGAGAGCAAAAGAAAAAATTGAATATGTCACTGGTGCGGAAGTAGGGGAAAGAAATGCGGAGATGCAGGTCAAAGGATAGAAAGTTGCAGATATGTAGGATGAACGAATCTAGAGATCTAACATACAACATGAGGACTCTAGATGATAATATTGTATGTATTTGAGATTTTTGCTAAGAATATGTTAGGTGCTCTTGCTATACACAAAAAGGGGTAACCATATGAGATGATGGATATGTTAATTTACTTGGCTATATTAATGATTTTACTATGCTTTGTATATCAAAACATGCTGTATACCTTAAATATATACAATTTTTAAAAAGGGGGAAAATACGTCATGAGCAAACTTCTTTCTCTAAGGAAGATATACAAATGGCCAACAAACATATGAAAAAATGCTCAACATCACTCAGCATCCGGGAAATGCAAATCAAAACTACACTGAGATACCATCTCACCCCAGTTAGGATGGCTAAAATCCAAAAGACGCTGAACAATAAATGCTGGCGAGGTTGTGGAGAAAAAGGAACTCTCATACATTGTTGGTGGGACTGCAAAATGGTGCAGCCTCTATGGAAAATGGTTTGGAGGTTCCTCAAACAGTTTCAGAGAGATCGACCATATGACCCAGGTATTCCACTGCTGGGAATATACCCAGAGGAATGGAAATCATCATGCCGAAGGGATGCCTGTACTCCCATGCTTATTGTGGCACTATTTACAACAGCCAAGAGTTGGA